CCCATCAGACTGTCAGCACAGGTGTTAATTAGTGCCATCTGTGATGGTGGCCTATGCTGTGAACACCTGCCACCCAGAAAATGTACTGAAATCACAGTGGTTTTTCACACAGGTCAGTGAGCACCAGTTAGCAGTGACTTCGAGCGGTATTTTTCTAGGTTGTGTATGGCAAGTGCAGTCATTCTTGTAGCTCCTACTGCAGCTACCAATTCAGTGGCTCATCAGACCCCTGAAGATTCTTTTTCAATGGATCACACTATTCCTACTTATAACACTTTGATACAGTTTTTATTTTTCTGTCTGAGAAAACTAAGAATAACCACCTTCATCTTGTGAACTATAGTTCAAAGGAATTATTATGGAGGTATTTTCACATGGTTTTGAGGTCATCTGAATTGTTTTACTTTTTTTTAAAACAGTTTTCACTGAGACAAGAATCCTGCAGGAATTTACAAGGAATATGGAACATTCAAATCTGAAAACAGGGGAATAATTCAGGGAAAAAAAAAAAAAATCCTGAAGTGAAGCACAAATGAACCCACAGAGTCTACTGATAAATATGTACTCCAGTAATATTGCTGAGAAGTCAGGCACTGAGAAGTTAGATGAGTTTTTTGAGGTGATTTAACTCATGTAGCTGCCAGTTGTGCAGTTGAAAACTTTGATTATTCGTGAATTTAGGAGTACTGCAAAGCAATATATATTTCAGAAGGAATTTCTCTTGATCCTCTGTAGTGTTGGTCGCACACAATATTTTTGTCAACATCAATCAATGTAAGTGATTCTCCTAGCACAACACCTTGTAATAAATATAATTAATGTGTCCAATACAGGGAGAATTCTAGTCCTTGCCTGTTTTTAAATTACTATTTGTCCTTCTTAGGACATTTTTCTCTCCTTTTTCCCTATCGGAAAGCCTCTGATGATGATAGGTGAAGCTATTAAAATGGAGAAAAAAAATAGATAGGAGAATGTATTTGGGAGCAAATATCTCAGGCACAGTTCACACTTCATGAGGTTATGAAAATTTTTATGGCTACTGATAGAAATATTGGTAAATTCTGAAATTTCAAGCATAGGAATTGAAGTTGCTGTTCACTATTGCCTGACCAACTGAGAAGTACCAATCATCTAGTAACACCAAGAAATTAATGATAAACCATTATTAGAAATAGCTTGTAAGAACACCTTGTGAGAAATAAAGCAATTTTATTGTATCAAAATTATTCTTTTGAACCATCTGGTGGATCCTGCCCCACTTACCTTTAAACGGGAGTATTATTTTCTAGCATATCTAAAGCTACTTCAGTGAGTTCTACAAAATATTTTTTTTTTTTTCTGTGAGATCTGCAATGAATAGCAAGGTCTACTCCTTACCACTTTCATTCCAACATGTATATATAACCGTGCATATGAATTTCTTGTATGTTGCTATAACACAGTGTGTGGTAGTCAGGTTATAAAAAAATCACTGCAAAGATAATTAAATACATTGCTGTCTAATTGATAGGAAAGTTTTTACAGTTTTGCCTTATTTTGTCATAGTTAATTTCAAGCCTTATGACACAAATCTGACAAATTGATCATATCTTGGTGCTATCAGTAAAATAAACCTCTAAATAATCTGAATTTGATGCAATTAACTAAATGGTCCATTTCCAAAGATATTTCTACCAAGTCCACGTGTTAACCTGCTGGAATTTAAATGTTGTTTGTAAAGGGGTATTTGTACACTAAAGTGCAAGAATAGTCCATAAATAGCACACAGTCAGTAGTTAAACAGATCTGTTCACAAAACCAAAAATCTTGCACACATTTTGTAAGGCCAGTGATTGAAAAGAAAATTCAGGCCCAAGCATTAACTATTTCTATTTTCTTATTTTGAAGTGACCTCCTTGAAAAATGAGGTCATATAAAGGCTTCTTATACCATCATCTCTTCCGTCCTTTGGATAAAGATGAGGGATTTTCTGGAGGCTCTGCTGGGAACCAGCTAGTGTGTAGGCATCTTAAAGGTCTGGGAAGCTAGTATAATGCGCAGCAATCTAATAAGTGCCCTGTGCTTTCTGGAAACAGCCCTTATCACACTCAATATGTGTGAACATGACCTGAATTCAGGAACACCCGTAGAGTTGTGCCCAACTTCATGTGTGTCCTCATGTGTTTTTAAGAGCTTTGATTTCCATATGAAGCCTTGGCCTGGAGTTAGACACTTATCTGCATTTCTAGATAAGGATGCCTTCCAAGCCTAGGAGCTGAGAAGATGTACCCATGCCAAGTACTCCAACACTGAAGTACCTTTGAAAAATCCTTAAAAAAACAATAGTCTTGAAAATGCCTGGCAGCTACTGTATAGTCACACAGTCTTCCACAGGCAGACGCACAGATTTCTCACATCATTTCATGACTGCTGCCTACTCTGAAATAAATGTGCTCTCACCATGTGTAAGTATGCTCAACTGAGATACATAACAACCAGACATAGTAACTTGCCTTTGTTTGTTCTGCAGTGTGGAGCTCTGTGTGTCAGTTTTAATCTAAAGGGAGCTAAGCAGGCCTTTGAAAATAGGTTTTTTCACTAACAAGTTTCTAATCAAGTGCAGCATTTATATACCTTAATAAACAATGGTGCAAAAAGAACACCATGCAACATCATGTATTAGTGCACAGAGACTGTATACAGGTGAATGTGGTCACCAATAATGGCTTTAACACAAGAAGAGTGGTCTTCAGATCACAGGCAAAGAAGGATATTGGGAACTATTTGAAAGACATCATGCCAAGGCTGGGTGACTTAAATCTTTTGATTCTTGTGGCTCCATGATAAGAAAATTGGCACCGAACTGTGCGGCATTCATTTCTGATTTTCATTAGAAGTACTTCATTGCAGCAGACCAGTATCATTTGGGGCACTCAGATAGCTCCATCTAGTGTATGGGAACAAAGGAAGGGGAATGGAGGAGCCGAGATGTTCAGGTCAGCTCTGGGCTGTCACTGACAGAGCACTGCTGGCTGCCACAGGCCATAGGCTGGTGGTCTCATGTCATCTCCTTGTGGCTGGGTGCCTGTAGACACTGAGCTGCAAGGCCCTGTGAGAGTGAGGGACTGGGCAGAAACGGCAGCTCTGCAGCTCTCAAGAGGTGGTCAGATCAGACCTGAAGTACTCTGAAAATGAAACTTCTTCACAACTTCAACCTGCATGCTTCCTAGAAGTGGTCCCATTTTTCATGTCGTTCACTGATGTGATTCCCCAACCAGTGAGACCCCAGAATTGTTTCAGCCCACTATTAAGATGCTGCAGAGGCCAATAAGCAAGTGTGGAGGAGGAATGTTTCTAACTACACTTTGTCCCTCTATTTCCAAACATAGCATGGATGGAGCTGCTCCTATTCACAAAGTATTACTCAGAGTGACTCTGTGTTTTCTGTGCAGAGTTATCCCACCTTTAACATACCAGCAAGCAGCTCTCACTGCGAATGCACAGGATTTCAAGTAACAGAACTGCAATAACTCACAGCTATTTCATGTCTACTAATTTCATGTCTACTAAAGGAAAAAAAAAAGCCTTTGGAATCCACCCATCAGCAATTGCCATGGGGTTAATGACATCTTCCTGGAAGAAACAAAGAAGTTGAGGTTTGTTATGTATATTTGCAGTGGGATTTGCAGCCTCACTCTAACAATAAGGGTATGGCAGATACAGATTAAAAAAAAAAAAAAAGCAAATATGTAACTTGAACTGCATAATCTGCAAAATCCTCATGACGTTTCCTAAGAGGAGATTGTTACCTTGTGGGGCAGACCTGATCCACTATTTTCAAAAGTATCAATCTAAATCCTGCAAAAATATCTTGCAACAACCATTTTTCCTCAGTCACCAACTATTGTAAAAATAGATGTGGAATTAAAAATTCTTGCAAGCAATGGATTAAATTACTACTTACAATGATCTTTTAAAAATGAATGAACAAATAACCTTCAGAAGCTATATATATATTTTTTTTCCTAAAGAGATAAATCCTACCTGCGTTAAGGAGTTGTGTCTGCAGGGAGCGAGCAGATCCCCTCAGGCAGCTCTCAGCCAGGGTGAGCTCATAGCTCCCCAGAAGTGCATGGAGTGGAGCTCGGCAGTTTGCATCCACACATAATTCACCCCCTCGATGTTTATTTTTCACCCCATCCTGGCACAACATCTAATCCTATCTGTCAGCAGTAAGGAATCCTAACAGCTCGTGTTGCACTCCTTCCAGCAGTTCGTTTTCTCATCTGTGACAGGGCATAAAATGAACTGCAAATGTCAGGTCATTGCTTCCTGTTCTTACATATGCTTTTTTTTTTTTTCAGAATTGCAGCACTTTTATGTCTTAAGTATTCGGTTTAATCCAATTCATCTTTGCATGTTGTATATGCAAATCTTACTGGAGATTTCTTTATTTATTAATAAGAGCGTATGCTCTTCACACTTTTTACTGAGCCATCTCTGTGAGAAGAAAAGGTGTGGAGTCAGCTCTGTAACCAGGGGGGGAATCGTAAATCAAATCCACAGCAGATATATGCTCAGGTAAAGAGAACAGCTGCACAATTACAACAATAATAAGATCAGCTTTGCAATTTTATACTTGAAAATCCCATTTTTGGGTCCATAATTGGACTATAGAAATGCCACAGTAATCTATCACAAGAGTTTGCCTTCTATAAGAACAAATAATTTCCGTAATTTATGTTGGTCCACCCAGCCCACCTATAAGCTGATGCTCCTTTATAAAACAACCTTTTCTTTTGATATAAGACTTTTAAAAAGAAGGATATCTGTTGACTATGAACACATTGTTCAGGTCAACATCTTTACATTAGAACCCTACAGAACAGCCCTGCTGCTCCCTATTTTCCACAGGACCCCCTGGACAAGCACCACAGGGTCCCGACTCAGCCCAGGTAGAACCCATCTTCTCCTGGGCAGTGGTTAGGCACTGTGGGCTCCCACCTTCCCCCTGGACCCACCTTCAGTGTGCACTGCAGACACGTAAGTCCAGTTGTAACGCTTGACAATATCAAGCATAGCGCGGGCTTGGAGTGTGTCAGAGGGCACCACACGGAGGAAATACTTGTAGAGAGTCTTGTCGCTCAGGTCGATGCTGGTGGCAGAGTAGGCAATTTGTGGGATGTCAAAGAGCTGCAGGAGGTTCTGCACCTGGATGGCGACCGAGCTGGAGCCAGGGCCAATGACTCCTGCAATGGGCTTCCTCAGGCGGCCTGGGGGCTGTGGTTGTGAGTCGGAGAGGCAGCGCCCACCGCCCTCCCTGTCATCCCTGATAGAGATGAGTGAGTCCCGAATGAACTCAATGCTCTGTTCCAGGGCCACCGAGGAATGCCAGCAGGAGTCACGGATCTCGCTGCCCAGCGTGATGTTGGGCAGCAGCACTGGGTCAGCGTTGATCTTATCCAAGGTGTGAAACATGGCCTCCACCCGCTGGATGCCGTACTGCTCCCGGATCTCCCCACACTTCCTCTCAGGCACCTTCTCAGCTGGTGGTTGATGGTGGACCGAGAAGAGGGCACCAATGATGACATCCCCGTCCATGCGGGCCACAGAGCGCTGCGCAGAGGCGGCAGCTGGTGGCAGCGCGGCACCTGCCAGCAGCAGCGCAGGCAGCACGAGAGGCAGCACAGCGGTCATTGCGGTGCACGGTGCTGTCCGCGGTGGGGCTACGGCTCCGGTGGGATCCTCTTGGCTGCGTACGCTGTGAGCACATGTACGGAACGGCATCCGCTGCCCCCCGCCGGTTCTCGGGTTGCTCCTAATACCATCGCAGCCACGTCTCACCGCACAACTCTCGAGGGTGCGCAGGCAGCTGTCATCCTAGTGACTTTTAACCTGGTGGCACAGAAACGGGGTATGAAAAACTCATTGGGGATTCAACGTCAAATCAGAGCTCAACAGAGCGGCACGGTTCGAGGAGGTCAATGCTTTCGTAGGGCAGTTAGCTCCGGTAAAGGCTCTTGGAAGCATGTTTCAAGAGGAATTAAGGTGTGTGTTTATTTGCCTTGCCACACTCCCCTGTGTCTGTTTATGAGAACCGCTCCTGAGCCCGCCTCTCCCGCCCAGGCGGCCGCGCCTTTCCGCGCCCCGCCCGCGGCACAGCCGAAAGTTTGGCGGGACATTCGGCGCTCCGGGAGGCGGCACAGCCCTCCCCAGCCAGGGACGCGGTGCCGAGCGCTGCCCCTCTCTCCTTACTGCCGTCCGAAGGCACCATCCTCACGTCCTCAGCTAAGGAATTTCCTCTCCCGAGATAAAAAAAGGGACGAAGAGAGAGCGAGAGCTCTGCTCTGCCACCGGCGGGAAATGTCATTTAAAGGTCAGCGGAGAGGAGAAGAAAGGGGTCCCTTTTAGCTTAACTTTTCCGCCTGTCAGGAGCAAAGCTGTACTCCGACCAGAGACACACACCTGCCCCGAGGGAAAACACTCCAGTTACTACGGCAACAGCGGGCAAAGTCCTGCTACGTTTTGCCGGCACGCCTCGCAGGCAGCCTTCGGGCGAGAGGAGCCGACGAGCCCGGCGACCGTGCCTGCAGGCTCCGCGCCGTGCTCGGGGCCGGGCGGCACGGCCACCGCCGCCAGCACCGCGGAAACGGCCTCCGCCTCCAGGCAGCCGGAGAGCGGTCCCTGTTGCGCGGCGGCGCCGTCAGCACCACGGACAGCGCCCGGCGACAGGAGCAACGAGCCCGGCCTCGGCTCCCGCCGCCCCGGCATCCGCGCCGCCCGCGCCCCATCCCGCCGCCCTGGAGCCGCTCCCCAGGCGTCCCGCGGTCCCCGCCGTCCCGTCGTTCCGCTGCCCCGGTCCCGCCACCGCCGACCCAACCGCCGGGCGCTTCCCCCAAACTTCTGCCCCCGCCTGGAGCCGCCTGGAGCCGTAGCTGTCTTCCCGCACGCACAGTCAGGCGCAGCGACACGACGATACGCCGACACCTCGCCACACCGACACGGCAACACAAAGCCCGAGGCACGGCGGCCGCCCTCCCGACCTGCCCTCCCAGCACCGCGCGGAGGTGCGGGTGCCGCCGCAGCGGCGGGGCTACACGCTGCGGGGCAGCCGAGTCTCGGGGCAGAGCCGCGCTGCCCGCGGGGGGTTTCCCCGGCCGCCCCTCGCTCTCTCCGGTCCGCAGCTCCCCGCAGGGCGGGCGGCTCGGGGCGTACCTGGCGCGGTGAGGCCGGCGTTCGCCGCCCGCTCGAAGCAGGCACCGGCGGCTGCCCGGGCGCCCCGAGCTGGCGCGCTGGCGGCGGGGCGACGGCTGTGGGCTGGGCGCTGGTGCCCTCTGTCTTCAGCACCGCTCCACCGCAAGGAAAAAAACAGGTCACCCCGCGCTCATCCATTATCTCACACGGCGGGATCGGGCATTTTCTCCCCCTCCTTAATTTCTTTGGCTATTGTCTTGGAAGCGAAAGAGGAGGCGTCACCCGGAGCACGCAGCCGCCGCGGGGAGGTGTTGGTCTCTCCCCCCGCGGCTCTTTATTCGTTATCTTCTCGCCACAATTAGACAAACCCAAAGCAAGGGACTGGCACTCGGAAAGGACTGAGACCACACTGGGGAACCTAACAGCCAGGCTGTCACTACGAAAATAAATATAGACACATATTTATAAATGTATTGCAACAGGACAAATCACCTGTAAGGAGAAAGGCATTTGAGATTCCAGTTTTCAGGTCAAGATGAGCCTCCGTAAAGGCACGTGAGAGGCATGTCAGATTAAAATAATACCAGATTGAATAATCATAATTCAGACGACCTGCTTGCATCCCTAACGCAGGTCTCGGGTGTTTTACTTGGCTGTGGGAAAGTTAAAGTTAGATTACTTCCCCACTGGGAACTCTATAGATATTTGTCCTACTTTTGAAAGAAAGAGGCAAGGACAAACATTTAACTATTGCTTGAATGAGAAGCTTTGCCATGAATGCTGCCTCAGAGCTGCCACCTCCCCATGTCAATATTTGTGCTCTTTTTATAATCACAGAGCTGTGACCTGGCATGTTTCTTATGGAGGAATGGCCCAGGGCAGCACTGCCAGCACCAGGCCTGAGGGCAACGAGGTGTGCCCTTAAAGGGAGAACAAATTCCCCTTTTTCCACACTTTAATAATTAGAGTTTACTCTCTGCTCTTGGCACAGAATACAGAATCACAGAATCATGGAATTATAAAATCATAGAATGGCTTAGTTTGGAAGGGACCTTAAAGACTGCCCAGTTCCAGTCCCCTTCCATGGGCAGGGTTGCCAACCCTCATCATGCTGCCCAGGTCCTCATCTAACCTGGCCTTGAACACCTCCAGGGTTGAGGCATCCACATCTTCTCTGGGCAACCTTGCCAGCAAATGATTCCAATGATGACATAACTAAAAGGCTAGGAGGGCAGCTGGCAGGGATCTGGAACTCATGAGAAGAACCTGGGATGCTTGCAGGCTTTGGGAAGGGCTCCTGGAAGCCCAAAGAGGCAGAGGGACCTCGGGGCCATCATGTTGCTTTTTCCCTCTAGTGGCATTTCCAGGTGTCACCCACACAGGCAGCCTGGTATGTCCCATCAGCCCCAGCAGACCAGATAGAACCACCATTTTGTTGTTGCTGCTATATGAACATAGGCTCACATCACAGGGAGGTGTCATCATGTGCCATCCTGAACACATTCCTGCCCATAAAACCAGCATCACTCACTGCACCATCAACCCATGCTCTCAGTGTCACCATTGTCCCATGTTTCTGAACACAAGGGCCCTTCACCACCAGGCAGCCATCCCTGTGGCTCTCCACAGAACTTTGTGCAGATAATCATGTGCACTGCACAGGATTTTGTGCAGAGAGGAGCTGCCATCAGACAGGCAGGAGATTGGGGCAACATCAGAGAAGAGCTGAAGCTAGGCTGTAAGTAACACTGGCATTCCATGGGAGGTTATGTGATGTTGACTATTTTCTTCCCAGACATGGAGTGACCAATTTTCAGTCTCCCATGAAACACAATTCAAAAGTCACATACAGATTTATTGAAATATTTTATTTTGATAGTAAAAAATGTTTTATCCCTATTTCAGTTTAAAGATTTTCTATTATGAAACACAGTGTATCATTATTTTTACTTCACATGAAATCAATCATCAGCTTAAAATGGAGGTTCTTTTCCAGTTTTTCTCCCAAATACATATATTTTTTCTTTCAACAGCAGGCACACTCCTATTAAATATTCCTATTTCAACAACATGGCCTCTTTCATAAGAGAATCTTCTGTTGGGAAAGATCTGGTCAGCTGTAAAGAGGTAAGAACAGTGTATTGTACAAAACTATGAAAAGGAGGTGGTTTGGAAAAGCAAGGACAGAAGGCTTGAAACCGGACTTAACAAGCCCCTACTTTTGGCTTGTTAAAACAGTTCCTCCCTCTGCCACCTCCTTCCAAGAGGAAAGTCAGGTTGGCTTTTTAACTGTGCAGCCTCTCCAGCTACAATATTGGGCAGATTTAAAGCTATTCTGTGTGAATCAATACCTCTAAAAGTGTGTAATTTTATTATGTCTTGAAAACAAATGCAAAGTTCATGTTGTCCTGTCTGAAGCTGGTTTACACACATACTGGCTATTGTATGAGTTCTCAGTAATATTTTCTATTCTGCTCACTCAAAGTCTTCCTTTTCATGATTTACTGAAGCCACCTTCTGTACATACACAGTATGCATACAAAACATGCACAGACATTGTATCAAATACTGAAATATTTGCTTGTGAACAAAGGTTTACAGTCATCATGTAGCAGGCTCATTCAGTTGAAACAGGGATTTTAAGTTTACTAATATATTTGGTATATTTTCTCCTCAGAAAGGAGGAGAACATGCTCCTTAGCAAAGCAAATGCCTCTCATTGGTTTTCATTTAAGGAATGTGCTATCTACATTGTCATTCCCACCCTTTCTTATATTTAAGACATTAAGTCACTCTATCTGCTAAGAAACAAAGAAACAGCATTTTAAACTGTTTTTAATATTTATCTTATTTGCTGCAAGAGCTAGAAAATGAACATTAATGGATTGATGTCAGCATATACAGAGCTTCAAAAAGATCTGAATGCTCAGCTGTTTCTTGTACCAGGAGATCCAATAAAATTAAATAGGATTAACCCATGACATTTAGGACTCATCTCTGTGACACTTTAAGCAATAGCATCTACACAGACTTATGATTATATTGGTCTGCTCTTTTCTGCTCTTTTTATGGTAGAAACATGTACTTGTTGGCCACAAGGATCCCTGGGAATGTGAAGGCTTCCACTGCTAGTTGTGCACCTCCTGCTCATGCCCTGTCTCATGTCACAGCATCCTGAGTGTGTTTCACAGACTGAGGAGACTTCACATCTTTTCAAGTAACTGAAATACCTCCTCAGAGATTTAGTCAGGAGAGAACTGTCTGTCTTGTTATGATTTCAAAGATTTCTCAAATAAGTGTGAGATCCAAATCAGTGCAAAATTCAGCTTTCAGGGATGTCTTATGGATTTTTGTCACTCTCTAAGGATTATAGGCTCCATGATGTGATGAATAGTCTGGGCTTATTCATACATTCAGCAGTTTCAATTTCTGCCTAGCAGAGCTGTTAATAAGCTAAAATTGATTCTTTTAAGATTTCTTTTTTCTTTTCTTTTCTTTTTTTTTTTTTTTTAAATAAACAACTGATTGCTTTATAAGGTCATATTAAAAAAGAAACCCTCAGGAAAAGTTCTCTGTGAAGACTGCCAAGGAGAGGGATCAGACTGCTCCTGAAGGGACAGAGCCTGGCTTCTCATGAAGAAAAGCTCATCTCCCAAATGGTTTCTTTTCCATGA